ATTTTCTCATCTGATGCTTTGTTCCAGTGGTCCTTGAAATAAAAACAAATGCAGTGTTCTTTGGTGTTAGCCATGGAAAATGCCTCCTGCGGAGAGGCATCTCTTTGTGTGTGTTGTGGGGAAGACCTCACTTGCAGGTAGTTGCTTCTGAGAGACCGGGAGATCCTGCTCCTTACCAAATAACTACGGGTAGCTGAATCTGATGGCAGGCCCTGTCCTTACATCTCCCTAAAATATATGGAGGCTTTGGAGACTGTCTTGTTCCTACCCACTGACATTCCAGTTGGGCAGGGGTGAGAGGAGAAACAGGAGCCTTCAGGCAGGACTGTTTGTGGCACAACGCAATTCCAAGCAAAGAATGTTGCCGCCCTGGGACTACAAAGCTTTTCTTGGACTTGGGTTTCATTTGTATTTGGACTTCAGGCATCTCTTCCGGGGGTTCTCAGATTAAGCTACTGCTTCTGCCAAATACACAAGAAAATGGGGCACTTGTAGGATGAATGACAACTTACAGGAGTCACAGTGTGCTGGAGATGCTTTTTAGAATATACACATATATATAGTTTATTTGTTTGGCTGCATGGCTGCACCGGGTCTTAGTTGTGGGATCTTTTGTTGTGGCATGCAAATTCTTGGTTGGAAGCACAGAGTCTTTAGCCACTGGACGATGAGGGAAATCCCTAAAGACCCTTGTTACATCACTCGTCATTTTGTCCTTTTAAAAAGTGACTCCTTGTAATTGTAACATACCATACAATACAAAAATGTTTCAGGAAGTTAACTTTTTAAAAACTGCCTCCAACTGTACCTCTTTCAACCTTCCTCCACCTCCACTCAAATTACTGTCAACCTTCTGCTGTGTGGAATTCCAACTGCTCTGGAATGTCTTTTTTTTCATTTTTTTTTTTCCACATAAGAAGTATTCCATCCCCATTATGCAAATGGGAATAGTAGTGAAGAACACTCACTCTGGGATCAGACAGCCTGGCCCCTCCTCCCACCAGCCTTTAATTCAGGGCAAAGAAAATAGGACTGGTGATGCCTATACCCCAGGATGGCCTCAATCTGAAAACTGGACACCAAGAGCGCACAGGACAAGAGTCTGACCTGTAGAGAGGCAGGGTGGAGAGGAGCGTGGACTCAGACGTACCTAAGTCCCAGTCCAGGCTCTGCCACTTAATAACCGCCTCAGCTTCCCCGTCTATAAAAAGGGGACGCTGATGACAGCAAACTCACAGAGTTCTGGGATTAATTGAGTTAGTATTTGTGAAGTGCTTAGACTAGAACCTGACACATAATGTTCTCACATGTTTAAATATTAAGAAAATAGTGAATATAAGGTAGTTGAAGCTGTTGAATCTAATTTTTGATGGTGATGATAACGTTATTGTGGTGAAAAGATCTTCCCATCTAGAGATGGCCAATGGGTTCTTGGCTCTTGTCATTAGGATCTAGTTTCGAAACCAAGCGACCAAATGACTGGTTTAAGAAAGGACAACATGCTGATTTAATACTTAGTCCTTTGCTGTCTTTTTTATTTAACTTTTTATTTTAGAAATGTTCAAGTAGGACTTCCCTGGCAGTCCAGTGGTTGAGACTCTTCCACTGCAAGGGGCGAGAGTTCAATCCCTGGTCAGGGAACTAAGACGTGCCATGCAGTGCAGACAGAAAAAAAAAACCACTTTTTTTTTTTTTTTTAAGAAATGTTCAAATATACCTAATCCTCATATACTGATCTTCTGGTTTCTACAGTTTGCCAGTCTTGTTTCCCCATACATGCTGGCGTTAGTGTTCTCTGTGGCTCTGAGACACTGTCCAGCCCTTGCCAGGGTTGAAGCCAGCTTCCCAGAGCCTTCTCAGAACTGGAGATCCCCTCAGTCTTTCTGTAATTTCTGGCTAATCAGCCCAGAGGCTCAGGTTGCACAGAAAGATAATGGGCCTTAATGAGTACCTGGAAATTCAGGTTGGGCCTGCCTGTGGTGCGTTTGCTACTTCTGTCACTTCTCACAGGGCAGGACTTAGCTACCATTAAGACAAGATGCCCCACAGCAGGTTAAGAGCTTTGCATTAAGTTATTTGCAAAACCATTTTCATTTTTTCAGGCTGCCACCCTTGGCAAGTCCAGTCATGCTCATCCCAGCTCTCACTGCCCAGATCTGGGCCGTCTGGGGCACAGAAATCAGTGTGGAAAATGAGGGCGGCTCTTGTTCCCCGATTATATGGCAAGCCCCCCAAACACAACCCAGTGGCCCCATTGTTTCTGCTGGGGTGTGGTTGGGACAAGGCTGTCGTCACATTCACTGTCTCGGTTAATCTCACAAAACCCTGAAGAGGTGGGCTCAGTCAGTGGTGGTATCTTCAGGTGCCAGTAGAAGAAACTGAAGCCCAGAGAGGTTAAGCATTTTGTGTGAGGTCACTCTGCAAGAACGCGGCAGAATCTGGGTTTATATAATCATTCCAGTCACAGACTCTGAGACGACTCTTGCCAACCTCTTCCTGTCATTTTTAAAAATGCTATGCTCACCCCTCCCCAACCCTTCAAATTTGGGAAATCAGTTGTAGAACCAGACTAAAAGGTGAGGGTAGGCATGTGGCATGGTTTTGATTTTTTTTTTTTTTTTTTTAAAACAAACTGGCAAAGGAGGGTTCAGGGAGTGATTAAGACTAGGTTACTCACATTAAGGGCCATCCCAACTCTGCTGTTCACTAGTTATAGGGATCAAACAAATGTCTTAACCTCTGTGAATCTCAGTTTCTTCATCTACAAAATGGGAATAATCATGTTGCTTATCCTCCTGCCCCAACAAGGTCTTATTTTCTCTAGCAAGGGTGGGGCTGTTGGTGTCAGAAAAGTTGGCAATGGTGGCTCCTAGTGGAACAAATGAAAACTGCAGCCCAGACACCATAACCCACTTGAGGGTTTTCTGGCAGAGATCCATGTCCACGTAGAAGTGTCTATGCTATGCTTAGTCTAGCCATGTAAAATAGGCAAAGAGCAGGACTTTTTTTTCCTTTTTAAATAAAAGATCTCTTGGAAAAACTAAAAATTGCACTGGAGGAATGAGAGACAATTCCTTGAAAGGGAGAACAGACCAATTTGAGTTTGCCAAAAGGAACTTTTATCGACTATTTCTTCTGCCTGGAAGGCCCTTGAGCCAAGATTTCTATAAGGCTGACTCCTTCAGGTTTCAGCTCGGACACCTACAACTTCAGAGAGACCAGCTTTCACCATCCAGTAAAAGTTATACACTCCCCATACTTCTCCATCACTCTTTTTTTCCCCCTCATCACTCTTACATTATCCTCTTTTTAAATTCCTTTATGTCTAGCATTTGTCACTACCTGAGATTCAGTTTTGTTATGTGTCCATCTCTTTTATAATTTAGTATAAGTTCAATGCAAGCAGGTGCCTTGCCTGTCTATTCACAATTTTGTCCTTACTGCCAAGCACAATGTCTGACAGATTATTTGATGGAAACTTGTTAAATGAGTCCTTTGGGACTCTGATGTTTAATGCAGATGCTTTTCACCACAGCTTCTCCAGCTTTGGGTATTAATACTTTTTAAGTTTTAATACTTTAATGACTGTAAAGTTTTAAGTAGCTTTGTCTCTAAGCCACTGATCCTAAGTCCCCTCATCCAAGTAGTCCTCTTCTGTCTTTTGCATTTGTCTCACTGCACTATATGATCAGGTTGAAGATTTTCCTGTGAAATCTTCACTGTCTCCCCTGATAGTGATGAGCTTCTCCACTGGGTGGTCTCAGATTCAAGCAGGCATTACCTCTCAATGCCTCAGAAAATAAGCATATAATCAGTTCTAAATGAATATCTGCTGTTATCAATGTCTTTTGTGGAATACTGATTAAAGTGTCTAGTGTGTGCCAGGCACTGTTCTGTGTATCTTAAAACAGCCCTAGGAAGTAGTTGTCAAATACCTTCATTCTACAGATGGGTAAACTGGAGCACCGAGAGATTCAGTGATGTGCCCAAGGTCTCAGAGCTAATAAGCAGAGCTGGGACTTGAGCCCTACCCTTGACAGTAAATAAGACCATGTTTGAAGAGTGAGCACTATGATTATCCTCATTTTGATGATGAAGAAAATAAAGTGAAAGTCACTCAATCGTGTCTGGCTCTTTGTGACCCCTTGGACTGTAGTCTGCCAGGTTCCTCTGTCCATGGAATTCTGCAGGTCAGAATACTTGAGTGGGTAGCCATTCCCTTCTCCAGGGGATCTTCCCAACCCAGGAATCAAACCCAGGTATCCCGCATTGCAGGTGCATTCTTTACCAGCTGAGCCACAGGGAAGCCCGATGAAGAGACTGAGGTTAAAAATTTTACCCAAGCCCTTACTCTTAACCATTATGTCCTGCTGGCTTTCTCTTATTATCTGCCACTGTTTATTGAAATGTAAACTGTTTGCTTATTTATCTATTTATTTTTAATTTTGGCTGCATGGGCTCTTTGTTGAGGCACACGGGCTCAGTAACTGCGGGCTTAGTTACCCTGCGGCGTGTGGGATCTTAGCTTCCCAACCAGGGATTGAACCTCCGTAACTGCATTGTTTAACCACTGGACTGCCAGGGAAGTCCCTACACTGTTTATTTAAATGTAGTTAATCCATAGTATCTCACTGAACCTCAGTCTCTAACTTTTAGACTCAATAGGTATTCTGTCTCAGTTATTTTTCACATTATCAAGAGTCATCTGAAGGAGAGGCCCTTTTTTGTTACTAAAAAGGAGAAGTTACTTTCTAGGCAGGTTTGTCCTCAGTCTCCAAGTAGATGAGAAAAGAACCACCACAGTTAAGTCGCCCTGGACTTGTGAAGATGGCACCTGCTACTTTATTACCTTTGCCATTTGTCACCAGACTGTGGTCTGTTTTCCTTGTGCCTGTTTTGTGTGAGTTAGACTTTTAGTGGGCGAAGGAAGTTCAGTTTCTAGAAAAGGAATGCTGTTTCATCTCCCCACTTTTCTAATCACTGTCGTTTATGCCCTGCAGTGAGTTTTGAAGGATGTGCTGGCCTACCAAGGACAGTCTATGTTTCTGACGACACCCGATTCAAAGTGCACACAGATGGCATGGTTACAGTCAAGCGGCCTGTGCACCTTCATCGTCCAGAGCTAAGTTTTCTTATCCATGCCTGGGACTCCACCCACAGGAAGCTCTCCACCAAAGTGACACTGAAGTTGTCAGCGCACCACCATCACCACCACCATCATCATGTAAGTTGGAGTGTCTTGGAAGTTCACTATTGTTTTAGTCTGCTGCTTAATCCAGGTTTCTCAGCCTTGGCACTATTTACATTTGGGGCTGGATAGTTTCTATGGGGATTATGGGGATGTCCTCTGTGCTCTATGAGGTTTAGCAGCATCCCTGGTCTTAACTGCTAGAAGCTAGTAACACTGCCAGATGTGACAACCAAAATTGCCTCCAGACACTGCCAGTGCCCCCTGGGGGTAGAGGGATGGGATGCAAAATAGCCACATAATTCTTGCTGTTGATTTGTTGTTGTTGTTGGGCTGATGGCAAGATACACTACCTTATTTCTGCAGATAGTATAGAATAAGGGTAAGGGCATGGATTCTGTCTGGAACTGAGTACCAACCCTTCCACTGGAGAGTTATTTATTTTTAAAATATTTATTTATTGACTGTGTCAGGTCTTAATTGTGGCACTTGAGATGTTTAGTTGCATGCAGCATATGAACTCTTAGTTGCTACATGTGGGATCTAGTTCCCTAGTTCCCTGACCTGGGCGTCCTGCATTGGGAACACAGTCTTAGCCACTGGACCACCAGGAAGTCCCATGGGGGAGTTATTTACTCTGTCTGTGCTTGAATTTATCTGTAAAATGGAAATGCTACTGACTACATAAATTAATACTTGTAAGATGCTGGAACTATGGAAGTCATAACAAGTAGTCAGTCATTTATAACTTTTCTGCTCAGTCTCTACCTGGAGGAAGAATTTACACGAAGTCAGCTTTCTAGTCATTTTGCTCTTCATGTCTCTAATGGGGAGGGTCTTGACAAAGAAGGGGAGGAATCACCATGAATCTTTGGCCTGATTGGATTGCAATCTCCATGAGCTCCTTCTCCACTGAATTTGCAATGCCTGGCCCTTGGGTCTGGCACATACCAAGAGCCCAGAGTGGACAGATGGGTGAGTTGGCCACAGAGAAAAGGATATAAGTCTGCCAAGATTCTTGGCAAGAATATTTCTGAAATTGTTACCCAAAGCCAGATGCCTTCGCCAGTTTCTAATCTGCTCCCGTGGCGCTTCCTATTAAACGTCTCTCTAGGGGGCTGTTCTAGTTGTATCCTGGGAGTGTGGAAGCATTGTAAGTGCCAAGGCCTTTCAGGCTGGCTGTAGTTTTTCTCCCTGAAGACTGCTGAGATTCTAGGAATTTAATACTCCTGGGAGATCTTGTTTTTCTCCCTGGTGTAATTGGACAGACCAGAAAAATGGGGAACTTAGTAGAACTAAATTAACATAGCTTCCTGACTCAAGTCTCCAACTGATGCCATCATTCATGTTAGTCCTATCTGATAAGTTCTTGCTAGATAGTGGTGCATGGAGGCCTCTTATGAGCCAAAGTTGGTCTTTCAACTTTACTTCTTCACCTTTGCCACCTGCCTTCATGATTAGGTTCAAATACATCTTATAGAAAAGCACACATTGCAGTGGTTTATGTGAAACAGTATTTGTCTTTCAAGTTTAGGCAATTAAGTTGTAACTTGTGACCATTATTGAGATTCTTACAGTCATCAGGAGACTAGGTTCTTTCTTTCTTTTTCATTCTGTCATCCTTAGCACATATATGGCTTCTGTCCTCAGTGATATCTCATGGTCCAAAATGGCTGCTAGAGCCCCAGTCATCACACCTTTCCTCTGGACAGTAGGAAGTTGAACAGGATGAAGCCCCAAAATGTATCACTTAGTTGTCCACCTTTTAAAGAAGGCTTTGTGGCATTTTGAAGCAGTATTTCCTCTTACATCTCATTAGTCAGAACTTTGCTTCATGGTCATACCTAGCAACAGGTGTAGTACAGGAAATGTAGTTCTACTTGGATACATTGTTGGATTATGTATATAATCTCGAGAGAGAGCGTGGGAGAAAGGGAAAGAAAGAGATTTTTGTTTTTAAAAAAGAAGGTATTGAGTGAAAGTGAAAGTCTCTCTGTTGTGTCCGACTCTTTGTGACCGCATGGACTGTAACCTGCCAGACTCCTCAGTCCATGGAATTCTTCAGGCAAGAATACTGGAATGGGTAGCCATTCCCTTCTCCAGGGGGATCTTCCCAACCCAGGCATCGAACCCAGGTCTCCCACATTGCAGGTGGATTCTTTACCAGCTGAGCCACCAGGGAAGCCCGGACGGTAAGGTGGCAAGTCTGCCACGACTGGTTTGAGGTTGACTTTAGTTTGTCTCTAGTTCAAACCACTCTTGTGGTGCCAGGTGGCCCTACATTGGAAGGGATGATAATCTTACCTCTCTTTTCATTCATATAAGAAAAAAGAAAAGGTTTTAGAATAATAGATCTATTTTATGCATATTGTTTATAAAGATACATTTACAATTTACTTTTAATATTAAAAATTATCACATCGTGGGAAAAAAAAAAGAATAGGTCCTATGTATTTGTATCAAAACATCACATGGTATACCTTAAATAGAAACAGTTTTTTATTTTGTCAGTTATACCTCAAGAAAGCGGGGGTGGGGGGGTGGGGGGGGAAAGACTATAAATAGATCTAACTTTCCAGTTCTTTCTCTTAGGTTAGATACGTTTTTCCAGTCTGGTATCCTTTTTTCCTGAGGGATGAATCCCATGTTCAGTTTGTTTATGTTCAGGCATGATTCCCTTTAATTTCACACATGATGGGAGTTCCCTGGTGGCCTAGTGGTTAGGATTCTGGGTTTTCATTGGCAAGATCCCAGGTTCAATCCCTGGTCATGGAACTAAGATCCTATAAGCTGCATGGCAGAGCTAAATAAATAAATAAATAAATAAATATTTTTTTAAAAAAATCACACATAAAGATGTTAATGTTATGTTTTGCCAGCATAGTGTTCATCATTATTTATTATCATTCTCTGAAAATGTTCTGTAATCTTGATGTCAGCAAAGTATGCTCTTTGCCTTCCTCTTCAGCATGGCAAATGAATTTGCATTCATACATCAAGGTCTGTTTGCTCACCACAGCTGTGCAAGATGGTCATTTTTAGTCTTAAGATATAGTATCGAGAATCAGTTTAATATTTGTTCCTGTGTTCAGGTCACACCTCAAATTCCATTTCATTAAGACCATAACTCTGTTTTCCAACCAGTCCAACCATCATCTTTGTTGTCATTTGTCGAGCACGTACTATTTCAAGCACTATTCTTTTTTTTTTTTTTTGCACTGGGTTTTCATTTGCTGCTTGCAGGCTTTCTCTTGTTGAAGGAGCAGGGGTATCTCACTGCAGTGATTTCTCTTGTTATGGAGCACGGGATTTAGGCACTTGGGCTTCATTAGTTGTGGGGTTTGAGCTTAGTTGCCCCGCAGTATGTGAAATCTTCCTGGATCAGGAATTGAAGCTGTGTCCTCTGCCTTGACAAGCAGATTCTTAACCACTAGACCACCAGCGAAGTCCTCAGGCACTATCCTAAGTGCTTTGTTGCAACACTAGTATCACATTTAATCCTTCCAAGGACCCTACTTCCCTTGTGGCTCAGCTGGTAAAGAATCCACCTGCAATGCCGGAGACCTGGGTTCGATCCCCAGGTTGGGAAAATCCCCTGGAGAAGGAAATGACAACCTGGAGAATTCCATGGACAGAGGAAAGAGACAGACTACAGCCCATGGAATCACAAAGAGTCGGACACGACTGTGCGACTTTCACTTTTTAAGGACCCTATGAGGTACTGATATAATCTTCATTTTAGACATTAGGAAAGTGTGGCCCACAGAAGTTAAATAACCAGCCCAAGGTGTCACAGTGAGGATGCAAAGCCAATCAGCCTGGCTCCAGAGCCTGCCCATGGCCAGGGTGGGACTGCTTCTCTAGAAGATGAATGGAGAGTGTGCGCGCGCGCGTGTTTGTGTGTGTGTGTGTGTGTTAAGGAGTGCGTGAGTGGCTAGTACAAAGGAATGAGAAGGATTTGTGATGCTATCTGGTCATGTTTCATGTCTGTCCTGTGCATTTTGAATCACATTTTTAAAAGGTAAGAAATAAGGTTTGACACACACTTCATAGACAGGCATCAATGACAGTGTGGAAGATGGCAAGATGGAATTGTTCTCTGGAGCCTTTACTGTGTTACCGCCAATCACTTTAACATTTAAACAATTCGGAAGATCTTTCCTTTCATCTTCAGCTATCTTATTTCACTGTATGTGCGTAAAGCTATCTATTTATTTATTTATTTATTTATTTTTGTTTTTGTTTTTATTTATTTATTTATTTATTTATCACACATGAAAACCGTTCAATTAGAGTCTCAAAGGGTGTTTTTGGTTCCCATCCCAACAACTTCTGTTAGAACAAATGCAACCAAACCGATAAAATAACACAGAGATTAAGGGATTAGTATTGATCACAAAGTAATCCTTAGTATCAATTCCCAAAACTTACTCTTTAGGCTAACTCCACTTTGGAGACCTATATCCCTAGGAAAAATATGAGAGAAAAAATTTAAAACACTGAAATATCAAATTGTTGCGTAAGCTCTGATATTAAGTCATTGGGGGCATAATGTCCTTTAAAAATGACAAGTGTTGGGACTTCTCTGGTAGTCCAGAGGTTAAGAGTCCGTGCTTCCGCTGCAGGGGGTGAGGGTTTAATTCCTGGTCAGGGAACTAAAATCCTGCATGCTATGCAGCCAAAAAGCAAAAAACAACCCCAAAACAACACAGGTGTGAGATGTGGACTTGATATAACTTGTAAAATAATGTCAAACCCTCAAACCCTGTAATCTTGTATGCATAATGATTGCCTGAACTCTGGACACCAAGAAAGATCCAAAGAGGAAACCAACCTGGTGATATGGTAAAGGGTTCATTGGGTTTTGTTTTGGCTGTTTCTTTTGTTACTAAATGGAAACCATGTCCTTCTCTCAGAAGACAGGAGATTCTTATTGGATAGGTTGAACTGTTCAGCTTGTATCATCTTGCCTAAATTATCCCATTTTTTCCCTCAACTTCTTTCCTTTCAGGACTCTCCTTCTGGAACCCAGATGGAAGTACTCACATTTCCCAGCCCCCACCATGGTCTCAGGAGACAGAAGAGAGACTGGGTTATTCCTCCTATCAGCTGCCCAGAAAATGAGAAAGGCCCATTTCCTAAGGCACTGGTCCAGGTACAGAAGGAAGTTCCCCTATTTCTCTGGGAGAGAATTTGGCCGAGAAGGACCTAGGAGAGAAAGGGGAAACAACCAATGTCAGGATCCTTTCATGCTCATTCATCTCTTTCTGCTTTGTCTCCAGATCAAATCTAACAGGGATAAAGAAACCCAAGTTTTCTACAGCATCACTGGCCAAGGAGCTGACACACCCCCTGTCGGTGTTTTTATTATTGAGAGAGAAACAGGATGGTTAAAAGTGACACAGCCTCTGGATAGAGAACACATTGCCAAGTACATCGTGAGTGTCTCTTGGAAGCTTGTTAACGATGGGGTTACATATTTCCAAAATATTTTGGTCAACTCATGTTGATTGTAGATCAGATGCTCTGGACATTTGAAAAGCTTGACTCCTCTAGACCTGTCAATAAGGAGAAATGACAGGAGGACCTGGGAAAAACTAGGGGCCGTTTTTGTTAGGAATAAAGTTGGGGAAAGTCTCGAGGTATCAGACATGATCTTAGACCCAAGATGTGAACCTGTTCTTGGGATTGAAAGTCCTTGACATAAAGGCAGACAGGCTTCCCTGCTGACTCAATGGTAAAGAATCCGCCTGCCAATGCAGGAGATGTGGATTCAATCTCTGGGTCAGGAAGATCCCCTGGCAGAGGAAATGACAACGCAGTCCAGTATTCTTGTCTGGGAAATCCCATGGACAGAGGAACCTGGTGGGCTACAGTCCATGGGGTCAGAAAGAGTCAAACACAACTTAGCTACTAAACAACGACGACGACACGAAGGCACAGGCTGGTGATGATGTTGGAGAACAAAAATCATTTCTGGGCCTTGAGAGCAGGGAAGCTGGGAGGTAATGCCTTGATGCCAAATGTAGAAAGGTCTTGGGAAAACCCTAGACTCAAGTGTCCAGAGAAGATCTGACCTTGCTTGGAGTAAGACAGAGAGTCTCAGGTTTCCATTTATCTCCTCGGCCTGGTCTTAAGCCCCCATGTGGGCAGTGGGGCCTCTGTTCTCCAGCTCATGGGTCTTCCGATGTCATGGTCTTAACCAGTGCCATGACCTCACTGAAGCAGCAGCACATGTGTGGGGGAGTCCTTATTTGAGTGGAAGGGAGTGGGGTCCAGTGGAGCCCACGCTGCTCTGGTCGGACAACTTCTCCCACGTCCTCTTCTCGAGTAACCCTCACTTGGTTCTTGCAGCTCTTCTCTCATGCTGTGTCTTCAAACGGACAAGCTATTGAGGAGCCTATGGAGATTGTGATCACCGTGACCGACCAGAATGACAACAAGCCCCAGTTCACCCAGGAGGTCTTCAAGGGGTCTGTCCTGGAAGGCGCTCTTCCAGGTATGTCCAGCCACGAGGAGCTCAACACCCACCAAGACAATTTGGATTCTTTGGACCCCCCCTGCACTAAGTGTTGGGGGTGGCATTTGGGGTCAGGCCCTTCATAGGCACAGAACCTCTTTGGAAGATAATGTGTGTGTAAAATATCCTCCTGATGGAAACATGTAGAAAATGTTCAAGCCCAATTTAAGAAAGGAGCAATTTGGACTTCCCTGGTGGTCCAGTGGCTAAGACTCCATACTCCACATATCCCACAGGCCACAGCTAAGACCTGGGGCAGCTACATAAATAAACAACTATAGAGCAGTTTAAGAACAGCCTTCCCTTGTTAAGAAATAGATCCTCGGGGACCTCCCTGGTGGTCCTGTGGTTTAGACTCCACACTTCCAATGCAGGGAATGTGAGTTCAAACCTTGGTTGGGGAACTAAAGATTCCCCATGCTGTGCAGCCAAGAAAAGGTAACAGATCTTGTTAGTAGTTTACGGCCCCTGTACAGTCCTTCCTGATCACATTTTTCTCTGTCCCCTAAAGGCAGCCACTACCCTGACTTTTATGGGCTTCTCTTGTGACTTAGTTGGTAAAGAATCTGCCTGCAACGCTGGAGACCTGGGTTGGGAAGATCCCTTGGAGAAGGGAAAGGCTACCCACTCCAGTATTCTGGCCTGGAGAATTCCATAGACTGTATAGTCCATGGGGTCACAAAGAGTTGGACATAACTGAACAACTTTCACCCCGACTTTTGTGATAATCATTCCCTTATTATCATTCATCTTTTCTGATGTGTGTACTTAACACTGGGTAACATCTTGTTAGTTTTGCTTACTTTTCTACATGGTGACAAACAATTTTCTAAGGTGGTTGAACCAATTTATACTCCTACCAGCAATATACATCATGGAATTGTTAGATTTCTTTTTGGCCAGTCTGTTGAGTATGTGATTATATCTCAGGGTAATGTAAAATGGCATTTCTATGATTATTAATGGGCCAAAGAAGCATCATATGTTTGGTGACCATGTGGATTTCTTTACAACTTGTCCGTTCAAGTCTTTTGTCCTTTTTTTTCTCTTGGGCTTTTTGTCTTTCATCTATTGGTTTTCTCCTCCCCACACCCCACCACCCCTCCCCGCCCCACTGTTCGGTTTGGGGAATTTTAGTTCCCCAACCAGAGATTCAACCTAGGCCCTTGGCAGTGAGAACACAGAGTCCCAACCACTAGACAACTAGGGAATTCCCTGCCTATTGATTCTTAAAGAGTTATTTCAGTATCCTGGGAACTAGTGCTTTGTCACAAATGTTATAAATATTTCCTTCCACCTTGAAGGCAGTGATCTCAGATGACCATTCTCTCAGGTGGAAATGTGGCTAAGAAGCGAATTGTGGAAATTTCTGGAGTTTTTCCTCTCTCAGGCACTATTCACTTAGTGTATGAGAGCAAAAAATGTTTCAGTTAAACCAAAATGTTTCAGTTGAACCAGTTGGGTTCTGGGAACACCATTCATTCATTTGGTAGAATGCTTTCTTCCTCCACTAGCACTTTGGTCAGAATTTTGGAAACTATCAAGTGTAGCTTGACTGAATCTTCTTTGCTTCCAGGAACCTCTGTGATGCAGGTCACAGCCACAGATGCAGATGACGATGTGAACACCCACAATGCTGCCATCGCTTACAAAATCCTCACCCAAGAGCCCACGCTGCCGCACGACCAAATGTTTACCATCAACAGGGAAACGGGCGTCATCAGTGTGCTCACCACCGGGCTAGACCGGGAGGTCAGGGGTCAGAAGGATCCAGAGGGTGGGGAGGGCAAATACACATTAACTCAATTTCCTGGATGACGCAAAACTCTGCCAAGGCTGGTCGCCACTTAGCATGGTGATGATCAGAGCTTTGCATCTCAGTGTTTGTCTAGATATTTGGGACAAGGCAGGCAGGTGGGGTTATTGGCATTTAAACAGATGAAAAAATACTCTGTTTCTCTTCTGGGAGCCAGGTGGGACCTGATGTAGCTGAGGGTCCTGACTCGGCTTTGTTTGATCTCTGCAGAGTTTTCCCACATACACCCTGGCGGTCCAAGCAGCAGACCTTAACGGCGAAGGCTTGAGCACAACTGCAACAGCCGTGATCACAGTCCTGGACACCAACGATAATGCTCCCAGATTTGACCCGACCACGGTAACCCTGCCCCTTCTTAGACAGTCTCCAAAGAAAGGGCCTTGGTTGTTTCCCAGTATCTCACGGGTGAACCCTTGGGTACTCTTCCCAGACTAGTCAACTTCAAGCTAAAGAGCAAGCAGGTCGAGGTGCCAGTTGTCTGCCATCCTCAGCCTGGTGCCTGTTGGTCCTAGGTTTCTGAAGTTGCAAAATGCACCTCCTGAATCCATGTCCTCATATTGGGCATCTTGGTAGCAGATCTTACCAGGTTTTATCTATTGAATAAATATCCTCTGGGTTTATACCAGGCACTGTCTTAGACACTGGGCATATCATCACAAACACAGCAGACGATGATACTGTTCTCATGGAACTTAGAGTCTAGCTAGGGAGACATTAAACAACTAATTATTGTGTGTAACTTTATTAAATGCAGTCAGGGAGAAAGTACTGGGAAACTGAAACCTTGTGTTCCTTAGAAATCAGCTTAATGGTTAGTAACAGGGATTGGACTCTTAATGATTTAAACAAATAGGGTTGCCTTTTTCTACACTTTAAAAGACTCAGAGGTACGTAGTCCACTCTGTCAATAGAAAGCAAGCCTCCTTTATCCAGTCTCCCTCCATCCTTGGTGCATGGATTCTATCCCCAATGTCACTTTGTGGCCCAGGATGATGCATGGAGCTCCAGCTGTGTCTGTGGTTTGTTCAGAAAGAAGGCAAAGGTGAGAGGTGCCTATGACTTTGATGCTAAGTCAAGTTTTATTATTTCTGTGAAGACCCACCCCATAAACTTCACTTACCTCTCATTAGCTGCTGCTGTCTGCAAAGGAACACTGGAAATACAGTATTTTACCTGGTCATGTTGCTGCCATCAACCATGTATTAATGTTAGAGAAGAAGAGGAGAATGGATATTCAGTAGACAGCAGTGTCTGCCACCCTAGCCTAGGCTTTATGAGTTCAAGAGAAGCTTAGGAGAGACAGTTTGATGCCCTGAATCAAGAGAAAGCTTGCTGCATAGCAAGAACTGAAAAATAGTGTAGTGAGCCAAATGAAGCTGCCTCCTACAGGACCTTGTGAACTGAATTTAAAACTTCAGGGTGTATCCTAAGTGCAGTGGGATGTTATCAAAGGGCAGGAGGCTATAATGGCCAGACTTTTATGAAAATTACTGGCACCACTGAGAGCGATGTGAGCAGAGGGGAGTAGGGGATAAGCGACGGAGTCAGCAATTGGGCCAGAGTGTGCTAAGCGGTGTGGGCAGGCAGGGCCTTGGCTCTTTCACGTACCCACAGGGCACCTAAGTGCCGGCTGCTCCACTGACAGGAAATAAGGGTCGTATTGATAGAGCGGGCACTTCTTCCAAGGCTCTTCTCAAAGCTTGGGCTCAAGAAAGGGCTCCTTTAGCCCCCTGAGTCCTGGCTCCACTGCTGGGTCTGAGTACGCCCTAAGTGACCCATCTTTTCCTTTGCTCCTCAGTACGTGGGGTCAGTGCCTGAGAACGAGGCTAACGTGGCCATCACCACACTCACAGTGACCGATGCCGATGTCCCCAGCACCCCAGCATGGGAGGCTGTTTACACAGTATTAAATGATAACGAGAAGCAATTTATCGTTGTCACGGACCCAGTCACCAATGAAGGCACTCTGAAAACAGCTAAGGTTTGTATGGTTCCTGTAAGATGCAGAAATTGACCACCCAGCCAATGACCCTTGTCCCTGATGCCATCTCCAGTGTAGTCTGGCGTGGCCAGGGTGGAGTGGGGGAAGATGGCTCTCCCAGTTTCCAGTGGGCCATTTGGGGTTTGCAGGGACTCTTCAGGCTCATATGGGAAGTCAGGAAGCTCCCACATAGCACCCTAAATGTTTTTGCTTTTTTTTTTTCCCTACACCTCATGACTTGTGGGATTTTAGTTCCTTGACCAGGAATTGAACCTGGGCCCTTGGCAGTGAGAGCCTAGGGTCCTAACCACTGGACTACCAGGAAATTCCCCAGGAAATACCATTTTAAAAAATACAATTTTTTTAAAGCTGTTTATTTTGTATTGGGGTATAGCCAATCAACAGTATTTGGTAGCTTTAGGCGAACAGCGAAGAGACTTAGCCATACATATCCGTCTCTTTTAATACCCTCTTTCTCTGAAACATTTGCCCATCTCCCACAACTGTTTTGCAGATGAGAAGAAAAATGGTTTATGGTTACTGCTATTTTGCTAGATGACTTTAGAAGTGGGACAGATATGCCTGTGAAAAATGTCTAGGAAACTCAAACTCTAAGAACCGGAGTGATTTCCTTCTTGAAGTTAGTCAAAGAGTTAGCGAATCCCAAGATTAGCCCCAGAGGTTTGACCTCCCCTTGAGCAAATGAGGAGCCACTTCATTTCTAAATCACTTAGTACATAGTCTTTTCTCCCACTAAACATTTGATGTCAAGGTTTTTTCATGTTATTCTGTCAAAAAAAGAAAGACGGTAGTAGTTTTGAGTTCCCTTCATGTACAAGGTCCTTCATAAAAGTTCCAGTTTATTCCTTACATTGCCTCTGCGAGATAGTTTCTTTTCCTACCTATTTATATGTGGAAACAGACCCTGAGGTTAAATTGCTTAAAACACACAGCTAGGAAATGTCCTGGCCAGAATTTGAGCTCACTGCTGACTGCTTCTGAACTTCATGTTCTTGCCACTAAACTTACTGGGGTTAGAGAGATGGCCAGGCTGGGTTGTCTATCTATCTGCTGCCACACAAACAGCTTGTCAGCATAGGATGTGAACGTTCTTACTAGTCTCAGGTTAATAAATGACTCAGTGGGCTATGTTTATTAGCAGAGGCTTCCCACTTGAGATTTCATGTGATTCATCTTTATTCTCTTCCTGGGGACCTCACTGTGAATCCAGTTGCATATTAGTCATTGGGAGCTTTTTAAGAATACCAGCATCCAGACCCCAGCCTCAGAGATTCCTATTCACTGGCTCTGGGGTTAGGACCCAGGCATCTGTTTTCTTTAAAAGTTCTCAAGGGAATTTCTTGGCAGTCCAGTGCTTAGGATTCTGCGCTCTACTGCCAAGGGCCCTGGTTCAGTCCCTGATGGGGGAACTAATATCCCATAAGCTGCATGGCCAAAAAAAAAAGTTTTCAAGTTAAATCTTTTCCTTTATAAAAATTTTTTTATTTATTTGGCTGTTCTGGGTCTTAGCTGTGGCATGTGGGATCTCATTCTCTAATCAGGGATTGAACCGAGGCCCCCTGCACTGGACGCTCAGAGAGAGCCTCTGCCACTGAATCAGCAGGGAAGTCCCTCAAGTTAATTCTTACTACAGCCAGATTTCAGAACCACTGATATATTGATTATCAAAAAGGATTTAATGTGTATGTGTTTTTTTTTTTATTTTTAACATAGAATGTATTTTTTTAAACTTGGTTTTTCTGTTCCTTAGGGCTTGGATTTTGAGGCCAAGCAGCAGTACATCCTGTACGTGGCAGTGACCAACGTGGCCCCCTTTGAAGTCACTCTCCCCACGTCCACGGCCACCGTCACCGTGGACGTGATAGATGTGAATGAAGCCCCCATCTTTGTACCTCCTCAAAAGAGAGTGGAAGTGCCCGAGGACTTTGGCGTGGGCCTGGAGATCACATCCTATACCGCCCGGGAGCCAGACACATTTATGGAACAGAAGATCACGTAAGTGTGAGGGGCTTTCCATGGACTTGGAGCAACTGGGTGTGTGCATATGTATGTGTATAAACTATTTTGTTCATGACATTTTATCATCGTTGGCCTGTGTAAGACCTTTATCTCGTTTGACTTGCTTGCTTATTCATTAAATATTTATTTGGCTGCATCAGGTCTTAGTTGCAACGCACAGGATCTTTGTTGCACACGTGGAATCTTTTTTTTTTTTTTTAACTTTTTATTTTGTATTGGGGTATAGCCGATTAACAGTGTCATGATAGTTTCAGGTGAACAGTGAAGGGACTCAGTCATACGTATACGTCATATGTGGAATCTTTCACTGCGTTGTGTGGGCTTCTCTAGTCGGGGTGCATGGACTTAGTTGCCCCACAGCCTGTGGGATATTAGTTCCCCAACCAGGGATCGAACTGTGTCACTTGCATTGGAAGGCGGGTTCTTAACCACTGAACCACCAAGGAGAAGTCCCTGACTTTTTTTTCCCACTTTTTGCCCCCATTTCCCACACCTTTTCCATTTCCTCCATAGTCAGCCATTCTAGATTTACTGTGCTTCTCTCACAAAGTATAACAGGAATGTGGTTTTCAGTTATACACATGGCATTGTGTTGAAAGTAGCTTACTGTTTCTTTTTTTCCTCTAACTTGGAAGATACCTCTGTAATGTAAATCACAGCCACAGACGCTGAAAATACACAGACAAATCAACCTACGACAATACCCTTGTGGCCATGTATGAAAAAGAACCTTTTTCTTCTTTTGAGGGCTGGGTCTGATTGCATGCTTGGTGCTGCAGTGTGACATGGTGGAAGCACAAAGGGAAGACTATAAGCACAAATCCAAGCGTGGCACATCTGGGTCTTGTTAGCAAGTGTATGTTTTCTAGGGATAACAAAGACTTGATCAGTATGTCCACTTCCTCTTCTCAGAGAGAGATTCCTGTCAGTTAATATTTACTTCAGAGGAAACTGCCAGAATGCTCTGAACTACTAAGAAAAAGTTATGCCAGGTGTAGTGATTAACTGAGCATATTCATGTTTAGGGGAGGGGTGTTTGTGTTCTAGTATCATTGCTTGTAACTTATTATATATAAACTGAAAAAGAAGAGTTTAAGTGCAACCTCAACTGTTGAGGTTATCCTGGGAAGTGAGGTTATCCTGGCACCCTGATTGGAATGACTCATAAATACCTTTAAACTGTGAGTGTGCACGGTACAGGATGGACCAGGTAAAGGTTCCAGGTAGTGATCCTCACGGCTGCTAGAAGCAATGGGATTAAGGATAATGAGAAGTTTTTAATGGAGGAACTCAGCTGGGATCATCCAAACCTCCTGATAGATTTCAACATCTACTGAAAAAGCAAGGATAGCCCAATTTGACATGCCACTCAGTGTGATTCAACAGCATGTACAACTTAAATATTTGAGAGAGACAGGAAAGGCTGAAACAGAATCTAATCAAGCCTTAGGATCTGGTTTAGATGCAGCGCAGAGAATGAACAAGTTAAATGCCACAAGGAAGCAGTCAAATACAGAATATGGGAGCTCTATGTCCAAGGACCCAGTTTCTTTAACAAATAATGACAGAAGAGTAAGGGTGTTAATCTTCCATAGATTAAGGATATTAATTAAGAGACAAATTAACCAACTGTAATGTGTAGACTATGCTTAAAGACAGATTCAAACAATCCAACTATAAAAAGCAGCCTTGAGGCAAATAGAGAAACTTGCACATAGAATAGACATTATTAAGTAATTATTATTTTTGCTAGGTGTGTTAGTGACATTGTGATATTGTAGGATTTTTGTTTTGCTAGTAAAGCCTGGGATTCTATGTTCTCCAGGCTATGTTGATATTTTAGCTTGTGGAAGCGAAACAGATGTTCAAAGCATCTTTTTGGGGGAAGTTCAAGGACCAAGTTTTAATAATGTTTGCAGAGAGCCTTACTCCTGGAATAAAGACCACTCTGTATATGTAGTCCATTGCTGTGCACTTCTTAGGTCCTGAGGATAAGTCCACGATTATCCAGGACCCTTCCCTCCTTCAATTTCTTTATTTCTCTTTCTGAGCCTTTTCATGACCCTGATAGGTAACTAGGCAGTGTATCTGTTTCTCGTGCTTATGTTTCTTCTGATTCTGGTTTTCTTAATAAGATGCTGCTTAACAATATTTTTTTGGCATTTTTATTTATTTATTTATTTATTTTTCACTGTGTAATACCAGAAGGAACTTTACGCTCCCTGGCACCTCCCATTAAATGCCAATAGTGCCACACACTGTGTCCACACAGATCTCCAAATGTTCGTGGCAGAGATGCTCGGTGCCATATTGTGACCAGTTGAGAACTAGTGTACCGTTTGGGGGCTGGTCTGAGAAAAACTAAAGAAATCTGATGTCTGGGACTTCCCTGGTGGTCCAGTGGTTAAGAATCAGCCTTGCAATGCAGGAAACATGAGTTCAATTCCAGGTTGGGAAACTAAGATCCTACTTGGCACATGCAGAGTGGCTAAGCCCAAATGCCACAACTAAGCCTGCACACCACAACTAGAGAGTCCACACACGGCAACGAAAGATCCCGAGTGCCACAACTAAGACCTGGAGAAGCCAAGTAAATAAATTAAAAACAAAACAAAAAACATGGCCGCAAAGTGTTTAAAAAGAAAAGAAAGAAATCTGACATTTAAATGCCGTGTCTGATCCTGGATTAGATTCTGAATTGGGCAAGGGTGAGTGGGGATGCTATGAAGGACAGTTCCGAGGAAGCTGACAGTTTGAATATGTACCATGTATGAAGTGATGTTTTCCTGAAATTGAAAATCAAATTATATAAGAGAATGCCTTTGTTATTAGGAGAAAACAAACTGAAGTATTCATCAGTAAAGGAACATGGCGTCTGCAACTTATTCTCAAATGGTTTAGCAAAACAGGGATTTATGTCTATATGTGCATCCACTTATTTATACAGCAAAGTACTGACAATGAGTGAATCTGGGTGAAGGGTACATGGATGGTCCTCAAACCTTTCTGGTAGAATTTCTATAGATGTGATTTTTTTTTTTTTAATGAAATAGGGAAGCAAAGTATGTAACAAACAGGAACCTTCACCTTCTTCAGCTATCTGCTGTTTGCTGTTCCTGTTCTAAACCAGAGCTTGTGTCTTTCCAGGTATCGGATTTGGAGGGACGCTGCCAACTGGCTGGAGATTAATCCGGACACAGGTGCCATTTCCACTCGGGCTGAGTTGGACAGAGAGAATGCCGAGCATGTGAAGAACAGCACGTACACGGCCCTCATTATAGCCACTGACAATGGTGAGGATGCCCCTACCACCGAGTGTTTGCTGACTCCTGCTCCTCAATAGCTTACCTCCTTGCCCTGTCCTTTTGGAGGCATGAGTTCTTTCTTTTTCTTTCATTCTTAAAGCATTCTCAAAATAATTGTCCAAAGTGCACAGAATTTAGGTCAAGCAGAAGTTCCTTTCTACCACTCGCTCTGTAACCCCACGGGAGTCAGATGGCCTGGCCTTAGATCCTAGGACCAAAGCTTAATACCTGTGTGAGCTTGAACTTATTACCTGATTTTTATGTCTCTCACTTCTTTTATCTGACAAAATGATGATGCCCTTTCTAGGTTAAATTTACATAGAAGTGTTTGGAAAAGTGCCTGCTAACCTATTCTGTGCTCTGTAAGGACTGTCATTTACTTGTATTATCATCACCATTAGTGAAACGTGGCACCTTCCAGACTCTCTGTATTCGAATACATTTATATACATATGGAAATATGGTTTATTATAAAGATACTGTCAGGTTTATAGCCTATTTTTGTTTTTACTACAAAAAAACCCCATTATCATATGCATGTTTAATTTTTTCCCTTGAACATATGCCTTGAAGACACAGAGCTCTATCTTGGCACATTGTAAATCTGTCTCTTTTCAGTAAAACGTTATGTGGATGATTCTTTACCAGCTGAGCTACCAGGGAAGCCCTATGTGGATATAGCATAATTTAACCATTCACACATTAAAAAACACCAGGGTTGTTTCCAGTTCTCCATTATTTCTGTGAATGATAGTAAACATCCTTGTACATGCCTCAGATAGATATTCAGAAGCAGAATTACTGTTAAGGGGAACTGCTAGTTCCTCTGGTTAAGTCTCTTTCTCTCTCTCTCCCCAGTGGACATTGTGCTTAGTGAAATAAACCAGTCACAAAGTGACAAATACTGTGTGATTCCACTTAGATGAGAGATTAATGTGGTCAGATTCATAGAAACAAAGTAGAATGGTGGTTCCCAGTTTTGTGAGATAAAGTTATGGAGAGCTGTTTCACAACATGTGATTATACCAACACTATTGAACTGTACATTTTAAAAATGGTTAAAATGGTAAATTTCTTTAATTCACAACTTTTTAAAGAGGTTTAAAAAAAAATCACTACAGCCACCCAGGTATAGATATTTATGGATTTGAGATCTATTCCTCTGGGCTTTTTTCTCCTATAATTCCTTGAGGACCTTCCTTTTGTATTACCAAATGCTATGTCAGGATGTGAAAGAAATATAAACAGAAATATGTACAAATCTCCAAATTTTATTTGAAAATTGATTTGCAGTGATTTTAAAAGGCTCAACTCTGTGATAATGTCCCTAAAGCCTTAGAAGTTCAGAGGAAGTGAATGAGTAGGGGGCGATGAGGATTTTTTTTTCTTTAATTTATTTGGCTGCATCAGGTCTTAGTTTCTGCATGTAGGCACTTCAATCTTCCTTGTGGCATGCTGGTTTTTAATTGTGGCATGCAGGATCTAGTTCCCTGACCAGGGATTGAACCCGTGAACCCTGCATCAGGAGCGCATATTCTTTGCCACTGGACCACCTGGGGAAGTCCCATGATGAGGAATTTTTTAGAGTGGTTTAAAATACATATTTTTTTAAGTTTCATTGAAGTATAATTGACATATAATGTATTAATTTCTTCTGTACAGCAGAGTGACTTAGTCATACACATATATATTCTTTTTCATATTCTTTTCCATTATGATTTGCCGTAGGATATTGAATACAGCTCTCTGTGCTATACTGTAGGACCTTGTTATTTACCCATCCTCTATGTAATAGTTTGCCTCTGCTAATCCCAAGCTCATCTCATTCCTTCCCTTCCCTACCCACCTCCCACCCTGGCATAGAGAGGATAAATTTAATGGATGAATAAAGTTATGTATGAAGACCGGGAGTCCTTGGTGTGAGGAATAACTTGAGTAACTATTATCAAAGTGAGGAATAAGGAAGTCAGAGGTCTGCGCATCCAGGAGTTGGGGATGGCCGGGGGCCGGCAGGATGGGTGGCTCTGGAGGGCAGCTTGGGGTTTGGTGCTGTAGCCCTGAAGAGCCAGGACAAGATTTGGATTTGGTCTGATGGGAGGCAGTAGGGATTCATTGGTGGTCCTGATCTGTGACCTTTCCTCTGTACTAGGTTCTCCGCCTGCCACTGGGACAGGCACCCTGCTCCTGTTCCTCGATGATGTAAATGACAATGGCCCTGTACCAGAACCCCGGGTCATGGACTTCTGCCAGAGGAATCCCGAGCCTCACATCATCAACATCATTGATCCCGATCTCCCCCCGAACACCTCCCCCTTCACAGCAGAACTGACACACGGGGCGAGTGTCAACTGGACCATTGAGTACAATGACCAAGGTGGGCACTGGAGTCTTTCTTATGTTGGAAACTTTGCTCTGACTCTCTGCTTCCTTTCTCCCCCACCCTTCTGAATTTCCCTTCTCAGTATCCACTTGTCACCCCTTTTAAGGCATGTTTCCTGGTCCCTTCTACATTTGTGACATTGAACCAAAGGTCCTTTTGTGTTTCTCCCACCTGAGTCTGTGACATGCTGCCCATTAAGCTGCAGCTCAAATAGTTGTCATCTTCACTCGGTTTTGGAATGTCTCTAGTTCCTTAATCATTTTAGTCTGGAATGAACTTTTTCTCTCAGTCTCCTCATTTTTGTTGCTTCCTCCAGAACGTGAATCTCTGATTTTGAAGCCAAAGAAAACCTTAGAGGTGGGTGACCACAAAATCAATCTCAAGCTCATAGACAACCAGAACAAAGACCAGGTGACCACACTTGACGTGCACGTGTGTGACTGTGATGGGATTGTCAGCAACTGCAGGAAGGCCACAGTTTATGGCGAAGCAGGATTGCAAGTTCCCGCCATCCTGGGAATCCTCGGAGGCATCCTTGCTTTTCTGAGTAAGTACTGCTGGCGAGTGCTCCAGCCTTTTACTTCTACAATGTTAACTGTATATAGCCCAAGAGCAGATGAAAACTTTGAAAATTAATATATTTTAAAGCTTATCTTAAGATAAAGAGTATGCCAAGTAATTTTTTTTGCTGTCATTTATTTTTAATTTTTAAATTTTTTGATTCTTTTTTTTTTATTGTGTGCTATGTGATTTTATAGTCTGTGCCCCACCCGCATAACTGAATAAGAATAATATGTATGTATCGATCACCTTGAGGCTGACACAGCCCTGGTCACAAACCATCAATGGCTCTAACTCACTCAGAATCAAAGCCATAGTCCCTCCAGAGGTCTGCACGAGGTCCCTCCGCTGACCACCCACCCCCCAACTTCTTTCTCCCCCCATGACCCTGCTACAACCACGCTGACCTGGCCTTTCCTTAATCACACCAATTTGCTCCTGCTGCAAGGCCTTTACCTGGACCGTTTCTGCTCCTGGAGTACTTTGCCCCAGATTTCGAGAAATGACCGATGGGTTTAAGGTCCAGTTAAAGACCACACTTGAGGTCACATGTAATTGTCTACTGTGTTGTGCTGCATACATTAGCCTCAGGGCTGTGAAGACATGTAAGTTGCCTAACAGCTGTCTATCCAGTCTGTGCCGGCTGCTGCTTACAGCCTTGCTGATTTGTGGCTCTCATCTCTCTCTTCCCTACTCCAGTCCTTATTCTGCTGCTTCTGCTACTTGTTCGGAGGAGAAGGGTGGTCAAAGAACCCTTACTGCCCCCAGAAGATGACACGCGGGACAACGTGTATTACTATGATGAAGAAGGAGGTGGAGAAGAAGACCAGGTGGGTGTTGAAAACCATGGGACAAAGCTCAATGGCAATCTCTTTATTTGGAGGAAGCAATGATTAGGAGAAGGCAGACATGTAAAATAGTTCTGTGTCACTTTGTGTATTTTTTTTTAAAAGACCTTAGCCAAGAAAATAGATGTGGTCATTAACCATCATCATTAATAAACATTGTTAACATTTATGTTCTTGCACTCAGATAAGTTCCATGTAATTCCTGCCTTTTTTGTCCCGGCAAAGTACAAGTAAATCCTTTGCCTCTGTCACATGTTTTAATGTCCCATTGGTCAAAGCAAGTCAAAGGATAAAGCCCCACAGAAATGAATTTCTGTTCTTTTCACAGAGGATATGATGGGAAAGGAGTGAGTATTTGTTGAATAATAATCTAATAATCATACCCTTTGAAAAGTTCTTAAAACAATCTCCATCTCTTCCCACAAGTGTTCCTCACAAGGCTTTTATGCTATATTTCCTTCCAGTGCTGTTTTGGAGACTCATAGGTTGAGAACTACCATTTCAGGAAAAAAAAAAAGAAAACTAACTGCCATTTCAGATTACATTAGTACATGGTTGTAGACATCATACAGCTGATAGTTAGACCTCATTCAGTACTGTAATATGTAAACCATATATGACCCTGTGTTTATGACTGTTTCTATTTTACTCTTTACCCTGTTTTTACCTTTTTCTCTAAAGGACTTTGACTTGAGCCAATTACACAGGGGCCTGGATGCTCGGCCTGAAGTGACTCGCAATGACGTGGCACCAACCCTCATGAGTGTGCCCCAGTACCGACCCCGCCCTGCCAATCCTGATGAAATTGGAAACTTTATTGATGAAGTAAGTAAGCACAGTCAAAAGTCAAGGCACAACAAGCTCATCTGTAAACTTGGAGAGGAGCAATTGTGTCAAAAGTGAAAAGTCTTTAGGTTCTTTCCTTCACCATGTTTTCATCTTGCGTGATCCCTGAGCTACCTCCCTTCTTCCCACCTTTTTTTTTTTTTAATTTGTGCCTCATCTAAATTTCAGAACTAATAGCACTTTGAATTAGTCTTTGGGAGTTTGCAAAGCCCATGCTGAAAAACTGAGAATTGTTTGAAAGGATTTAATAGAATTAGGAAGGAGAAAGAGATTCAAAGTAGATTCAGTTTGGTTTCACTAATGGGTCTCTTTCCCTGCATTGCACTGGGATGTAATATTAAATGTGTAATCACAAGGCTACTCGAGGGCCAGAAAACTAGCTTCCATTCTGTATACGTCAGAAATGCATTCAGCTATAAATACCAAAAGCTTAAATAAATATGATACTGTGTGCAAATCAAAGACTGAGGTAAAGTAGTTTAGGATGGAGCGTCAGCCTTTTCTATCTTTCTGCTGCATGATCTAAGCATGTAGATCCTTGTTCTCATGCTTGTTGCCTCATGACCACAAGATGGCTGCCACGCTTCCAGGTCTTGGGTCTGTTTTCCATTCAAGAAGTAGGAAGGGCAGAGCAGAGGACCAAAATCTTTCTAGCAAACTGTTAGGCAAGAAAGAAATTCATACTACAGGTTATTGGTCAGGACTTTAAGTTAATTAGCTTCAGGTAGGATGAAGAAGAAATGGTGGGATTAAGCAAAGAACCAGGGAAAATAATAGTCCAGTGGGATCTGTTTCCTTAAACTATGTTACCTGATTACTTGCTCGGTCACTGGAATGATTTTCAGGGCTGGTCTGACAGTTCATTGGCCGTAAATGAGTCTTCATGGTTTTTAGCTTTCTAGGGGAGTTGTCATCACCAGGGACTCTAAAAGCACAGCTATGTTGGACATGACCAAGCCAGATCCATTCTAGCACTGGGTCTTAGAAAAACTGAGAACAGGAAGGGCCAGTTTAAACCATCCCTTTAGATACATCTGGATCAGGCCTTTTCCTCCATTTATGTTTATTTGTGCTTGTACCTGTTTGTTAATTGCAAAAATGAAATATTTGCTATTTTAAAAACATAAATTATAAATATAAATTGTGAAAATGTATATAAAGAAAAGAATGCAAATCCTATGAACAGAGAATCTCATGGACAGAGGAGCCCAGTGGGTCGCAAAGTCGGACACGACTGAAGCGACTTAGCATGCACACCAGACTATCCTGGTATGACTGTTCTTAGTCTCTGTCCATTTGGATTGGCTTGTGCTCATCTCCGCTGCCTACATATAATTTGCCACTTTAAACATTCTGCTACATACTTTCTCCTTTGATTAGAAATATATAATGACCATCTTCTGTTCCCGGCGGTATTAAGTTTACGTTGTTGGCGTTCATTGCCCTGGCGTTCTGCAGGATGGCTGCATTGCTGTGTGTTGTGTGCATTTTGCTTTATTCACCAAGAGAAGGTATTTTGCTTAAGATGACAGGTGTGCAGTTCCTCTCAATAAAAGATCCTATTGTCTTCCTTCTTTAGAACCTGAAGGCAGCTGATACTGACCCCACTGCCCCACCCTATGACTCTCTGCTGGTGTTTGATTATGAAGGAAGTGGTTCTGAAGCTGCTACTCTGAGCTCCCTGAACTCCTCAGAGTCAGACCAAGACCAGGACTATGAATACCTGAATGAATGGGGCAATCGCTTCAAGAAGCTGGCGGACATGTATGGAGGTGGCGAGGATGACTAAGGGGCTCAAGACTGATGGGAAGAGAGATGGGTCGCTACACTCGTGTGATGGAAAATGCGGGAATCATACTCCTGGTTTTTTGCCAGCTCCCTTCACTTGGGATACATTTCTGGAGAAGAGACTGATCAGGGATAGCATAGTCCTGATTTCCACTTTATAGATCTAATCTGTGTATTAGAACGATTTAGACTTATTCCTTGAATCTTTTTCCTTTCATCGCTCTTGACATGGTGATGATGTCCAAAAGACCCCTAAATTTTAATACTTCAAAAGAATGGTTTCAGCCTCAGAAGATTCTGCTAGGAACTTGCAGATTTCCTTAAGGGCTTTGTCTCATTTTTAAAAGGAAGGGGAGGGGTCAATTTCCCTATTGTGTGTATATATATATATATATAAATTGTGTTTTTGTTCCTCCCATCACTGCACTGATGTCCTGTGTTCTGAGATCCACTCTTACTCCTTCTGAATTCTATTACATTTCTCTGGTGCAGACATTATTGGGCCCTTTTAGGGAAAGAGGATTATGTCTTAGGTTGGCCATGTACTGAGTGGGTATTGTGTACTCTTAAGACCTTAATGGCTTAACGGTTTTTCATTTTTGTCTTCTGAGTACGTAACTTGTAATGGGCATCTATTCAGTTAACTTGTTCTGAGTAAGGATGTTGGTCATGTGAATATCATTACAAGGTACTTTGGTTCTAAATAGGGAGGCTGGGCCAGAAAAGGCGGTGAGTTTCAGGTGCCACTGAACCTTTTTTTTTTTTTTTTGACCGCTCTGCAGGACATAGGGGATCTTAGTTCCCTGACTAGGGATCAGACCTGCATCCCTTAACAGGGGAATTGAGGATTCTTAACCACTGGACCACCAGGGAAGTCCCACTACTAGACTTCTAATGTTTATTTCTCTCTAAAACAGAAGAGTGATATATTCCAGGACTTGGAATTGTGCCTAAAGTCTGTAGCCAAAGACAGAAGCTGCAAGAGGGCACAGCAGAAAGCAAAAATGAAAAGTGGGCTTGGAGATGGCAGGGGCGGTTGTCATTGAGCCAACGGAGGCTGGGACAGTCGAGGTGGCTCTCCTGCCACCCCTGGAAACTCTGAACTAGAGGAACCTCAACATGTGTTTCTTGCAGGATCCTTGGACCCAAAGCACAGAATCCCCAAGCCTGCTTTTGTTGATATTTATAGAAAATGCTAGCTGGTCTGGACACACTTGCCCCACATTCCAGCTATGAAACTTGAGAATATTTTTCAAATCCAATTTGGTTTTCCTTTGCAGAGGAAGAAAACACCCGCTGAAAGGGTGTTAGCAAAGGAAGGTGAGGGTAGGGAGTACATTAATCTGGATCTTCCTTTAGTTGAAATGCATCTTTTAAGAAACTTTTGACAACCATAGACAAGAATTTTATCTAAATTACTTCCCTACCTATCAACTGTTTTTAGAAGAAAAGGAACATCTCTCAACCACTTCTTAGAAACTGTCTTGATTTTTCAGCAATTTAAACTCTAATGTAGTTCTACGTAGAGAATGTCACTATAGTTTTGAGTGTGTATGTGTGTGGGTGCAGATAATTTTGTATTTTCTTTGGGAGTGGAAAAGGAAAGCAATTCAAGCTGCAAAAATTATTCTTAAATATTTGTTTTTTTATAAATTTTATTAAAGAATTTTGTTACACCATTGTCAAACTTCTTTTATTTGATCGCACAATTCCAGGTTAGACAAATGGTAGGTAAGCTCATTCGAAACACGGAGAGAGAAGCTTCATATTAAAATGTCTACTCCTGAACTTTGTGTCATTCTGTTGGGACTGAATAGGGGGAAGGGGAAACTGTGTTTCTAAGGTCAATTTATTGGAAGGCTATCCATCCATGTGGCATGTGATTTGGCATGTGGTGAAACCAGTAAAATCTCTTTGTCAGGGGGAAGCTATTGTGGGTTGTATGGAGGGGTAGAAAGAAGCAAGGCTGGGGTTTCCCTAGTGCTCCAGTGGTTAACACTCTGTGCTGCCAATGCAGGAGGCTTGAGTTTGACCCCTGGTCAGGAAACTAGATCCCACATGCTGCAACTAAAGATCCCACCTGCCACAAATAAGACCTGGTGCAGCCAAATAAATATTTTTTGAAAAATGTGGTTTCCAATTTAAAGATGTTTTAGTAGGTTTTATTTAAGAAAGAGATGAGGAAGATCCAGGTGCAATTTATTAATCATCCCCTCTGTGGCAGACATTGCTAAATACTTGAGAACAGTATCACTTTGACTCCCCAAGATAGCCTCATGAAAATATTCTGTTACCTTTGAGAGTAGGAAATGGCTGATGGCCTAGGGCTGGAGTCCAGAGAAATGGAAGTGACTAGGAAGGGGCCTGACTCACTGAGGAGAGAGTTAAATGAACCATTTCTTCCCCCAGTGGCATGGTCTTGCATAGGGAGCACATCCCATTTCCCAAGGCTTTCAGCAGCCAAGTACTAAAGAGGAGTCATCAACTCAAGAGATCTGAGAGAGAAGCAGGACAGCCTCTTGGGAGCAGTCTCACAGAGTGGGTGTTGGAGCTGGTTGTGACAATGGTAGGCTAGGTTACTGATTTTTAACGAAAGAAGAGGCAGGCATGCCAGTCTTGCCCTCAGAAACATTGTCCTGGATTTGTAGCATGCCTTTCAGACAACATGAGTTTTGAATGTCCCACCAAGATTCCTGTAAGTGAAAAGCTGTTACTGATGATATATCTCCAATCCATTCTGTTTTACATATTAACACAATTTTGATGTGGCACAATATTAACAAACACTGAATTTTCCAGGACTGTCTGTGAATAGAGCAAAGATAGAGCTTTTATTGGGAGCTGTACTTAATCCATTTAAGAAATAATATCATCAAGAACAATATTTGCAGCTATTAGCAATTGGTGTGTGTGTTTAGTAGTTGTTTTTAAATATCACTAGTGAAGAAATTCAACAATTGAATATTTTACATACCAAACTTCAATATAAGAAGGTGCAGCATCTGATTACTTCACTACTTCAGTGTTTCGGTGACGAAATGTTTTCATACTGAATAAAATTCATACTATTTTATAAACTACTCATCCTTTATACAGAAGTTAGTCACGTTTTGTTTCTCAAATCGTGCTCGTTGACAGTTTGTGTTCACTATTTTTACTTCCCCTACATGAAATTAAAAGGTGCTTACTCCTTGGAAGGAAAGTTATGACCAACCTAGATAACATTAGAAAGCAGAGATATTACTTTGCCAACAAAGGTCCGTCTAGTCAAGACTATGGTTTTTCCAGTGGTCATGTATGGATGTGAGAGTTGGACTGTGAAGAAAGCTGAGTGCCGAAAAATTGATGCTTTTGAACTGTGGTGTTGGAGAAGACTCTTGAGAGTCCCTTGGACTGCAAGGAGATCCAACCAGTCCATCCTGGGGGAGATCAGTCCTGGATGTTCATTGGAAGGACTGATGCTGGAGCTGAAACTCCAATACTTTGGCCACCTCATGCGAAGAGCTGAATCATTGGAAAAGACCCTGATGCTGGGAGGGATTGGGGGCAGGAGGAGAAGGGGACGCCAGGGGATGAGATGGCTGGATGGCATCACCAACTCGATGAACATGAGTTTGAGTAAACTCCAGGAGTTGGTGATGGACAGGGAGGCCTGGCGTGCTGCGATTCATGGGGTCGCAAAGAATCGGACACGACTGAGCGACTGAACTGAACTGAACCCCAGGGAAATACAGGTGGCGAGAGAAAAACACTTTTTCCCAAAGGGGGCGTTCCTAGACAAGTCGATCCCGCCCCTAGTGCGTCCGCCACACGCCACCCGGCGGGCGGCGCCGGTCCGCTGAGGCGCATGCGCAGGTCGCCAGTAGCGCTTTGCGCTTCAGTCATGGCGGCGATCAGTCATGCAGCTTGCAGCAGGGTTCTGGAAAAGTGTGGTCTGGAGCAGATTTTGGAGGCGTTGAAGCTGCTGCTGAGCCCGGGAGGTGAGAGGACGAAATTCGGCGCCGGGCTGCATCTGGGGCCTTTGGGCAGGGTCTGTCCAGCGTCATTTTACCCTTGAGGAAACCGAAGTTCAAGGAGGGATGGGAACCGTTGAATATTGAGACTAGCCTAAGTATCTCGAGCGGTTACCTTGGGCCAGGCACTGTGTTAAGCACCGTGGGTACGTGTTTTCACCCGTCCTCACTGCAGCTCTGCGAGGACTGCAACCACACAGCCTCAGAGAGTCTCCCAGAGCTTCCTCAGAGAGGTCCCAGCTTCTTGAGAGCGCGGGGTCTGATGTGGACACTGGACATTTGTATAGAGTGCCAAGGAGTCCAGAGAAAGGAAGCAGTGACTTTTGCGTTGCGTTTTGGGGAGAGGACTTAGAGATTTACAGTCTGTGGTAGGGATTTACAGCCACTCTTGGTCTTTCCCAGTTTAGAATCAGCAGGGACCTTGGGAGTGGTGTAGCCTGGAGCTCTCCTTTTACTCCCGAGGACGCCTCCGACTCATCAAAGAGAGTCAATAACGTGACCAAGATCAGGTGGTCAGATTAGAGGCGGAACACGAACTTGGAACCAAAGTCTACCGAGCCCTCTTGTCAGACCAAGGCAGATTATTCAGTATGGAGCCTCTGATGTTATGTGGAGCTTTGGGGAAGATACACAGAAATAGGGTCCTACTTTAAATTAGAGAGTATAATTTGGAGGAAGAGGTTTGTAGGGTGAGGAAGGTAAGGTACATGAAGGTTATGTTCCCAGTCTTAGATTTTGAGATTCCCCCACCTCCACCCCAAACTGAGAAAAGTCAGGAAACAGTAAGTATATCATACTAGGGGTAAGTGAAAGCTAGTAGGGGGAATTCCTTGCCAGTCCAGTGGTTAGGACTCCCTGGTTTCACTGTGGAGGGCCTGAGTCAATCCCTGGTGGGGGAACTAAGATCCCACAAGCCGAGAAGTATGAGCAAAAAGGAGAAAAAAAAAGTCATTGAGTGCCTGCTAAATGTCAGCCCCTATAGTGTGCTATTTAAGTATGGATCTTTTTATCCTCACAGCAATTCCATGATATAGATATTACTTGTATTCCATTTTACAGATGAAGGAACCAAGGCTCAGGTACATTGGAAATTGCCCAATGCCAGTCTCCTAAGTGGTAGAGTTAGGATTTGAATTTCAGATGCCTTCAACTGTTGTATGGAACTACATGTACTACTTTGCCACAGTGAAGAATTAAACAGCAAAATATGTTTTTGACTTGTTAGTGGAAAGGTTGCTTGTCTAGCAACGTCAACAATCTAGAACATTACTGAGAACAGGGATTAAATAAGTTAAATAGTCTGAAAGTAGTCATCTGTTGCAAAGCACATACACTTCGTTTTTGGAAGACCCTCTCTAACTCTCAGTATGTGGTGGAGTTACTGCATGTACTCCTTTAGCTTAAGAGAAATCAAGCATTGTTATCTAAAAAAGAATAATTTGGTAAAATGATATTATTTTTACAAATAGGTTATATTGTGTGAATCTTTCTGCTGTTTTCTTTTATCATATCAACTGCTGAAGGAATTACAAAAATACCTGTGCATAATAAGTATTCATATGTTCCCGATGGACAGAGGGTGTTGAGACAAGATGAAAGTATTTGCTAAAAGTACCTCCAGCTAGTTCAACTTCTTTTTCTTTCAGTTGACCACTTTTGAGGTAATATTTACTGAGTGTCAACTGTATGTAATATTCTGTCCTCAGTAATTTTGGAGATAGAAATATTATTTAACAACTTGTGCTATCAAGTATCTTGTTGGGGGAGATGGTACTCCAAATATAGTGTGCTCAGTCGCTCAGTTGTGTCCAATTCTTTGCAGTCCTTTGGATTGTAGCCTGCCAGGCTCCTCTGTCAGTGGTATTTCCAAGGCAAGAATACTGGAGTGGGTTGCCATTTCCTCCTCTAGGAGATCTTCCTGACCCAGGGATCGAACCAGGGTCTCCTGTGTCTCCTGCACTGCCAGAGACAATTTTTTACTATTGAGCCCATGAGGAAGCCCCACTCCATATATAGGCCAAAGATATTCAACATAGCAGATAATATTAATACTAGTGGTGAATGGAGGGTACAGGTAGCAGTTGGTTAGTTAGTGAAGGAGTTATCTGAGGATGGGGCTGTGGAAGGATACAAGAGGAAGGAGAATTCAGCCTAGATGAAATTTGAATAGACAGAAAGGAAGGAAGATACCGAATCTTTCCCTTTTGAGCTATTAAAGGTCTACAGCATTATTTTCTCTTCACCTGCCTTCCATTTCTGTTCTCAGTTGTGGGGCAAGTAGGAGTAATAGCTCCACTTCCCTTATTAGGAAGTGTGTTAAGCAGAATTGGAAAGGGCTTTGTCAGTTTCAGTGAAGTTTTGCTTGAGGTCATCTCAGCAGTTGTTCAGTCACTAAGTTGTGTCTGACTCTGTGATGCTGTGAACTGCAGCATGCCAGGCTTCTCTGTCCTTCACTACCTCCCGGAATTTGCTCACACTCATGTCCATTGAGTTGGTAATGCCATCCAACTATCTCATCCTCTGTTCCCTGCTTCTCACCATTGGTCTTTCCCAGCATTTCAGCAGTAGTTTTCCTAAAAAAAAATAACTTGCCAGACTAAATATATGTTCAGTGAATTCAGCCATTAAAATTGAATTATGTGGTGCTTGGGGGGCTGTAAATTTTGGTGATTTGTATATAATGAAGCTGTATCACATATATATATATATATATTTGGCTGTACCAGGTCTTAGTTGTGTCTTGCAGAATCTTTGATCTTTCTTGTGGCATGTGGGATCTAGTTCCCTGACCAGGGGTCGAACCTGGGCCCCCTACATTGGGAGTGCAGCATCTTAGCCACTGGACCACCAGTAAAGTCCCTTATTTTACAGTTTGAATTTACTAGAAAGTACCACACAAATTATGAAGTCTGCTTTTAAATGTCACAAAGCATAGACTTTTGAATTGGTGGTGGGAAGAATAAATAACTTTGTTTATGAGGGCAGCATTTCCCAAAGCATGATGGGGATGGTTGTAGGCAGTATGTAGAGAAACATTTTGAGGCTGAAAAGCTTCAAATAGTGATTAAGAGCTTGGGTTCTGGAACTGGGTTGCCAGAGTTGAATATGCTCTCTGGCAAATGCCTTAACCTTAGTCTTCTTATCTGGAAATAAGGATATTAATATAATACTCTATACCTCACAGAGGAGAAGGCAGTGGCAACCCACTCCAGTATTCTTGCCTGGAGAATCCCACAGACAGCAGAGCCTGGCAAGCTACAGTCCATGGGGTCGCAAAGAGTCGGACATGACCAGCGACTAATACACACACACATATCTCACAGAGTTGGTGCAAGGATTGAATTAAATACATAAAGCCCTTAGGATAGTATATTAACTATTACTAATTTAAGTTTAAAAAGATTTAACTTGAAGAAATAAATGAATAAAGCAAATAACAATACAGCTGGTGCTCAAAATAAATGGCCAAAAATTTATGGAAGCACTATATGACTCTAGTTTGAAAAACACTGTTTTAAGGCTGCAGGTCTCAAACTTTTTGGTTTCAGTACTCCTACACTCTTAAAAAGTGTTGACTTAAAAGAGCTTTTATGTGGGTTATGTGTATCAATATTTACTGTATTACAAATTAAGACTTTAAGAGAACCCTTTTAAATTTATTTAAATACAACAGTAACAAACCTGTTACATGTTCACATAAAAAAATACATTTTACTGAAATAACAGTTGGAAGAGTAACATTGTTTTACTTTTGAATGGCATTGTTTTATTACACTTTTGCAAATCTTAAGTCTGACTTACTAGAAGAGAGCTGGGTTTTCATATTTGCTTCTGTGTTCAATCTATCATGACAGGTTTTTTTAATTGAAACAGATGGATATCTAGACTCACACATCTATATATGTAAGTGAAAAGGGAGGAAATTTCCATCATCTTTTCAGATAACTGTGTATTCCTCTTTAAAACTCAACAAGAAGTAATTTCTTGAAAGTTGATTTTAATATAGAATATGAACTCATATTAATGAATTTTCATACTTGGTACACTCAAGAAAGAATGAGAACATAAAAGGCACTGTCTTAGTATTAATATGAAAATAGTTTTGGCCTTTCTGACTTTCTGAGAGAATCTTGGGAAGGCCCTCAAAACCTGAGACCTTGTAGCACACTTTTGAGAACTTCTGCTCTCAGAGAAAGCCATATTTATTTTCAAGTAGCTTTTATTTTTATCACCAGAGAGGGCAGAGGAGACCACTTTATAAGGGGCTCTTAAGAAAAAGGGGCTAGTAGCTTTTGTTAATCACTTTCTTTGTGTGCCGTTTGAGTTCCAAGATCTTATGAAGTCACAGGAAGTTACTTCGAGATTGTTTATTGATCTTAGTCATTAGTGGCAACAAGCTATGAAAGCACTCATTTCCTGTTTAGGTGTATATCACTCAAAGGCAACAGATATTCATGCCAGTGGGTCAGAACACTTGGCCTGAACAGTCTTAGAGAAATACTGAAAAATCTTACTCTTCTGATTCTCACTATTTTAGTGATTCTCACTAAATTGAATAACATTTTAAAATGTTATTGTTCCTTTTTCATAGAAGTAGCTAATATTCCTTATAGTAAAGCTTTAAAAAAAAAAGAGAGAAGCTTAAAGAAGAAAATTAAAATGACCTTAATCCCACAATCCAGAGATTACATTTTGGAGATATATATATATATATATATATATATATATATATGTATAATTTGTTTATAAAAATGACATTATATACTACATACTGTTTTCTAACCTTAAAATATATTTTTAGTACAGAAACAATACATATTTACTGTGAAAAAAGTTTTAATGAAGCAAAAAAGAAAAATCACCCAAAGCCCTACCATCAAGAGATCATCACTGTTAACACTTTGAAGTATAGCTTTTGAGATCTTCTTCTGTGTATGTACTGAGGCACACACACATATAAGTTTTCA